TAAGTTAAGTGTCTTCTGCCACTTTTACAGTCATTTCTACAGTTCTGGAATTAATTGTGATTTTATTTTTTCATGGAGAAAGACAAATTTTAATTTGTTACAGCACAGCAGAGCTCATGACTCAGGACTCAGTTCATCGTGACAATAAATACTCAGCCCTGAAACAAACAGCCCATGTTCTTTTTCATGTACTTGAATAACCAGTGCCAACTTCACAAGAGAAATGCTCTCGGATCTTTCTGCGGGTCATTTTTGCCCTCAGATGTCTTGTAGGGTTGGGGTGGGATTTTTTATTTAATTCGTGGGAAAACAATATTGGGCATCGTGCTTTTAGAGGAACTCTCTTCAGTGCACATTCCCTATATAAAAGTAGTTGAAAATAGGAAACTTTAAAAACATCTTCCTGTACTCAAGGGAACCAAACAAAATTACGAGACGAGAAATCAGCATAGTCCAAGGCCAGATTTTGATGGCCTGTTTGTTTGCATAGCTAGTGTGGCACACACCACTCCAAGAACCTAGAATTTCAGAAGTGGGCAGAATCTTTGATTTCTCTTGCAAGAAAATGAAAAGGTTTAATCCTTTCTGTGCCTTCTGGTATACTAAAACTATAGTAATTCTTACTGCAGCTACAATCACCAAAACAATGCTGTGTCTAGCCTTTCTTATGAGAGAAAAAAAAGCCCCCAGCCCTTTCAGAGCTGTTTAAGAACTTCCCTTTCTTACAGAGTCCTGATGCTGCTGTTTGTACTCATCTGCGATTTGCATCAATGAGATTTTGGGGTGTACTTTTTTTTGGTTGCGAATAGGAGATGATCTCAGATAAGTAAGTCTTGTGGTTCAGTAGACATCCCAAGATTTCTGACAGGGAATGAGAAGAGAGCATTCCTTGAAGCTGTGTGGATTGTGGGAAATCCACTGGAAATCAAGACTGTCTGCAAATACTTGGTTTCTCAACCTGTCTGTCAGGCAAAGTGCCACCAGTGTCAGCAGTTGCCAACGTCTCTACAGCAGCAGCGTTGCCAGCATAAAAGATGCAAAAATCAGTCTTTCCCCATCTCTCCTGATGACAAGGTGGCTATTTTAAAAATTCATCCTTTTGGCTCTTCTATTGGCCTTCTGTTTTTTTAAATGGGAAGATGTGCTTTCTTCCTGCTTTAAAGCAATGACTAGGGCTAAGAACTTGCCTTTTTTAAACAGTTCTCACATGTTCAATTGAACCTTCACAGCTCAGTAATACTTACTCTCTCCTTTTTTAGGTAACCATCCCACTACACTGGGGATGGTCACCAAAGGGACTTCTGCTTCTGACTCCCCAGAAAATGAACAGGAGAAGTAATATAATGGCCTTCTTTCCGTGGCAAAAGCCCCAAGACCATGAAAGTTTGTGGAAATGCAGACAGATAGGGTGGCTAAAAATAGAGTTTGCTGAATACCATAGATTACTTTTGGTTTTGGCAATAGATACACCATACTTCTGGTATTGGTTACGCTCCTTCCTTTTACACAAGTCAATGTGGGAGCATTTATTCAGGATGCTAAAGATGGTGCCTCTGTTTCCTCCCTGCCTATGGGGTTCCTACTGGTAGCTACTGGTAGAGACTCCAAACTACCAAACTGCTGAGGTTTTTGTTTCTAGCCATTGGTTATTTAATTATTTATACAAAGCAGAAACATTTTAAGAGATGAAATCTAGAATGTCCCTCCATCAGGAAAAGGATAGATACAGTAGTATTGTAGAAGGAGGAAATAAAGGGTAGGATCCCTTGGAACTGATGAAGAAACTCTTAGCACTTCCCGCAGCCCAGGAGAAAGCTGGGATCTCTGAGCTGCACTGCTATCAGGTAGATTAAATATAATCTGTGTACACTTACATTTGCTGTAAAACGTGACACTGGCATAGTCTGTGTGTGTGGAAGTATGAGGATTAGCCCCACCTAATCTGCTTTCAGATGGGCTTTTGTTTCACTTAAATTTTACTGGCAGTTGCTAACATGGTCAGTTTTGCCAGAAAAGAGAGAGATCCCGATGAACAGTGACTTAAAAACTGAAAAATATGTTAAGACACAAGAAATCTTACAGTAATTGTTAAGTTCTTTCAGCTTGAGCTTGCTGTGCAAAGAGTTAAATAGTTCAAAGGCAGTTTCCTTTGGAGAATGTTTATTTGATTGAGTTCACTGTGGCTTAGACCCCAAATAGAAATACTGGCTTCAAACAGAGCGCTACTATGAGGGTAGGAATAGTCTGCGGCCTTCCAGACCTCACAAGCTATGTTGGTTTGTTACAGAGAGTCAAAACAAAGATGTCCCTTAAAACACATAGACATTAACTTAGTGTATTTCACACACCACAATCTTTTATCTCAGAACCGCCTTTCTCCCCAGTCGCTGGGGCTGTGCCAAAGTCACCGAGATCCTGGATGAGCTATAGACTTCTCAGTGAAAAGTATATATGGTATGATTGGACCATCTGAGCTAATCAGATCATTAGAGAAGAAGCTTTGAGCGCTACTGCTCCTGTTTACTAAGCTTGAAGTACTGCATCCTCAGATTTTGGGACAGCGCTTATCTTTGCTTCTTGATTCCCTTTACATCGCAGAAAGCAGGGCAAGGAAAAACCCAGTGGGTGCTTCTCTTTTAAGTGGAGCCTGGAAGATTTTGTTAGCTGGGGGGTGTTGGTTTTTCGGGTTTTTTTCCAAGTCCTTAGCTGGCTAAATTTTCAGACTTCTAACAAATGCGTTAGGCTTTAAAAAAGCATTCGTAATACACGATGAGATGGGCCGTGTTCAACCCCTTCATGCAACAGTCAAACCCGTGCAGATGCTATTAGTATAGAACCTGCTCTCAGGCCGCATCTGGAGGGTTATCTTTGATCTGTCTCCAGATCCTCCTTTTATTTGTAAACATCCTGCTAATCACAGACTTCCTCAGACTTTTATGAACTGGAAGAAAGTGCATCCTTTGTAACATCTCTGGAGTGCTCTAACTTTGGAGATGTTGATGAGTTTGTGGGACGGGGAGGTACGAGCTCCATCTCGTGGCTAACTGGAAACAGGCCTTTTTCTATTTAAAACGTTCAGAACGTTTCCACAGTTGAGCAGAGTTTACTGTGTGAAGAGTGAAGCAGAACCTCTTGCAGCTGTGCATTCCTAAAACAACTTCTGTTTTTAGGATAGCTAGAGGAGTTTAGAGTCTGGGAGGAGGGCCCAGCATTTTAGCTCTGATCTAGTTTACTGTGGTCTAAAAGCCATTACCAATGCCAGCAGTTCTCTGGTGTTCCCAGTTCCGTAGGCGCACCACACCGCCACACTTGGCACTGATTAACAGTATTTTTGCAGTCTCATCAGAAAAATGTAATTTAATATTCATAGACAACCCACCTTCCCACACTCAGAGGTGGTCCCACACAGCACAGTCGGTGTATTGAGGGTGGTGGTGTGAAGAGGCTCAGTCATGCCGCGTGAGCGGTGTATGGTCCGCAAATAAGGGAGATCTTGGACTGTGAAATGCAGGCCGGCTTCTTGACGAACAGCGGTATTTAAACACTGATGTTGCCTGGGGAAGAGTAATGTTCACGTGCATACTGTAGTTAGAATACATTTTTTTCTCCTTTGCTAGTTTACAAACAAAAAGGGCATTTCCTGGCCTTAGAGCTAGTCAGATAAGAGCTACTTGGAGATAACAGCATCAGCCCAGTGAAGTCCTCTCCAAGATCTGAAGAACGTATTAGGAAGACACATGGACTTGCTGTCAGAACCAGCAGTACTTTGAGCTAGCAGTTTGCCCAAGACCTGCTTCCCCATGTTCACATCGCTCTCCTGGCACGAAAGAAAAGCCGTTTGCCCCAGATTGCTCTTTTGCCCATCATCAAGTGCGGGACGTGGCACAGAGGGCAGATAATGTACAGACAATTCTGGGCTTGGCGTACGCTGTGAGGGCCTGGCCGCCGTGTCACATGGGGCATCCTATAATGCACACTGTAGTGTGGAGCACTACTCCCAAGGCTTTCCTCTCAAATTCAGCCCTGAGCTGGCCTTGAGGATGCTCTAGCAGGTAAGTAATGCAGACAGCTCATAAACCTGGCTTCACGTGCAGCCTTGAAGCCTTCGCTGCTCTTCAGTGTAGACACAACCACTTGTTCCAGAGCTGCCATAGTGTGCATAGAAGCTTGAAGTGTAAATTGTCCAGAAGCAGGACAATCGTATACTTTGCACGATGTGATTTACATATCCAGGGAAAGAAGTCAGTGTACCAAGAAAAAAAAACCCATGAGGATTGTCTTTGAAAGTTCCATCCACATGTTTCCAATTTCTTGACTGTTTGTATCGGGTACAAAGGTGCTCATATTTGTCATAAATCGGTTTGGTCAAAAGAGACTTACAGGAATTGTAAATATTTATAACATTTATCAAGAATTTGGGGAGGGGGATTAAGTAAATACATAAGAGTTACCTCTGAGTTAGGCAAGGGGAAAAAACCCCAAAGTAACTAAACCCAAACAGAGGCAAATATGAAGCACTGAGTGTTCCAGGGTGGGGGTGTTCCAAGCTACGAGAAGTCCAAGCTGAGGGGAAATAACACTTGTGCAATTTTTTGAACATCCACTAAGCCAAGCCATAAACCACGGCTGGAAAGTAACACATACAGTGTCAAAAATAACGTCTGGGAGGCTTGGGAAGTGGGTTTTTTTTTCAGCGAATCTTTAGCTGTTTTGAAAATGGAAGGCAAAGGAGAAAGAAACAAAGGCAAGTTTCTGAAACCAGATCAAAACGTTGTTGAAGTTGTGTTTTGGTGGGGTAGGGGTTGAAGGAGGTGAGCCGAAGGGCTTGTAAACAGAACTCCTGACTGGTGGGTGCTCTGACTGTAACTGAAGGATGGGTATTTAGAGCAAAGCCGCGCCATCGTGAGGTGGGGGGGGCCACATCATGCTAGCAAATACAGTACTGGAGTGTGGGCTTCTGACTTTTAATATTTTTCTTGCATTTCTTTTCTGCATGGCAGTAGTGAAATAGGGACTTCTAAGCTTCTGAACAACTGAGAGAACCAGGTTTGGAGAAGACATGAGGAAGAACTGGTCGGCAAAAGATTTCATAAAAACTCAGAACCGCGTGTGCCAGATCTGAATTGGCACCACCTTTGCTTTTTTGACATACTGCAGCAGTCGCAAAAGGCACCAAAGCAGTCAAATTAGAACATGCAGTAAAAGTTGTTTTGGACTCTTCTCTGTATTATAAACCTTACTTCCTTGTGACTATTATTTACACCTGTTAAAACAAATTTGGAGTCTCCTTTCATGGAGCAGACAGCCGAAAGAGGCAGATGCCAGGTGTTAGGGGCTGCACTAAAATGCGTGTGCAGAATTTGCTCTTCATGTGCTGGAGTGCTCCTTTTCTGAAATGAGGCTTCTTAGAGTGTCTGTCAAAAACCATTTAGATTTTAGTCAAATACTAGAAATGCATGCCTCTGAACTAAAACTTAGGTATTTTCAAACAGTTGCAATGCTAAACTATCAAGTGTTAAAACAGAGGAAAAAATTTAATCTGGAGTACAAGGAGGAAAAAAACCCTTAAAAACTGAGGACAGAGGGTCCCTGAGAAAGGAGAGGATGGTGAGAAAGACCCAGCTGACCTGATTCCCTCTGCTGCCATGATCATCATTTGCAAGCTGAAGAGGACCTTCCACAGTGCTTGCATGAGGAGAGTAAAGACTGGTGCTCTGGTCTTAATACAAGAACAGTGAAATATTTTTGCCAACAAGGAGATGAGTGAATGTAAAATAATCTTCACAGGGCATGAGGTACGCCTTGTTCTGGATCTAAGCCTTGCAAAATCTGACTTGAAGAGGAGAATCAGGCATTCATGTTCGGATTTGAGCGCGTTAGGAATCCTAATGTTTCCAGCTAAATTAATGGGCGGGGGAGGGGGAAGGAAAAAAAAAAAAGGCAGTAATTGTTTTAAATCAGGGACAGCATGAATTAAGAAAATGCTAATTTCCTTCACTTTCCCCTGAAAACAGTGGGTCAGATTGAGACACGCAAGCAGACTAAACATATGCTGATCGATATTCTGCTCTAGTTACGCATTTTACTAATTCTACTCATGACTATAAAAGGATGTTTCATTGTTCAGTATAACTGTTATCTCAAGCAGAGTCTGTCTATAATTTTACTTATAATTGGCATCATTTTCATTACTGTTATGAAATGTGTAAACTGTTGTCTGTATTGCAGCTTGTATAGGGCATGTGTCTGTGCTTGTTTTAGTCTTTTTGAGTTTTTGAAGTTGCTACACAAATGCAAGAAAAGATGTTCAGAAATCTTTGAATGTGGTTGCTTAATCTAATTATATAGCCCCGAACATTTCAGCATATAGATGTTGAAGGTATCGGCTCTATTAGTACATAACACCTTAAACATGAATAGAGGCATTTTAAAGGCCTTCAAGGCAATATTAGAATGTCAACACTTCTGTCCCTGTGGCTGTGCTGGAGCAAAGGGGAAGATGGTGAATATCTGGGCAAAGCCATATACCACTGGGGACTCCGCAGGGAGAAGACACAATATAGCTGGGAAACCTAGTAGAAAATGGGATGGCCTTTCCGTGGAGAAACAGAAGGACCTTGACGGTAGGACCACCATGCAGCCAAGGAGAGAAGGGAAATATGTTTATAGCATCACCTAAAGATAGGCCTTCAATAGTATACTAAGTGTAGGGCATCTAGAACAGGCTGTGACTGTTCTGTAACTTAGCAATTATTTGTAGTCTATGTAGAGTATCAGTGAAGACATTCCAGCTTAGTTTTCATCATTTTTAAAGCTTATTCTGTGATACAGTATCTTTAATAAAATATTCTTACAAATCTGCTTATTATTCTCATTTAATTCCATGTTATACCTGAGTTAATAACATAACAGGCAACAGGGTGAAGTTCCTGTTACCACCTGCAGTTTTCATTATTTTTAAAGCTTATTCTGTGCTTTGATACAGTATCTTTAATAAAATATTCTTACAAATCTGCTTATTATTCTCATTTAATTCCATGTTATACCTGAGTTAATAACAGTCCTGGCAACAGGGTGAAGTTCCTGTTACCACCTGCTTCATCTGCTCCTATGGTTTCCCCGTTCACCTGCTAAGAATGACAAGAGGGAAAACTGAGATGAGTAAACAATCAAATAATCATAGGCATGAGAAAATACAAGAAATTTGTAGCACTGCTACAGTTCAGTTATTAGAGAAATTCTTCACACTAAGCATTTCAGTGAATCTGAGAAATTAATCGTATGTTGATCTCTTGAAGATGAAGTATTGGTCTTTGCCTGTGTGTACAGTACACCATTTCCCTTGTTTAAGGCTTATCATCATTTTCCATCTTTACAGTTGCTGCCAATAATTACAATACGTTGTTTAACCCCTTTCATGGCAGTTCTAGATCAAATTCTGTTTTCATTTGTTCACCCCCTGGTCCATATAGGGTATCTTTTCAATATCTTCAAACAAGACCAAGCAGAGTTCGACATCAAGTATACTAGAAGGTAAGGTCAGAATCCAAATAATCCTGGCAAGGTGCAGACATGATCTGAAAACATGCTATTCAATAGGAACAAATGCAAGCTGGAAGCATTAGCTGTGCAAGTAAAGGAACATCTGCTTAATTTCCATTTAAAAGAATTGATGTGATATTTTGGATCAAAATCTGCAAACGAGCCTGCGACATTATGCTGTTGCAAATAAAGGTAAAAACTGAAATGTCTAAACTGGAGTATAATCTGCTCCTTCAGAAGGCGTCAGCTAGTAACATCTCCAGTTGTGATCTTGAAAAATAAGATACAAGTTGCATGCAGAGAATCCAGGAGAAAGCAGTGAGAACGTCCAGATGCCGAGAAAACTTTGAGCAGAGCACAGATTGAATGATTTTAGGTCATCTTACAGAAGAGGTGGTAAACATGAGGATTTTCATATATATATAAAAGCTGGTTTTAAAGAAAAATGGAATAAAGTTTTCTCATACCCACAACTGATAGGAATAGAAATAATTGTCTTAAATTGTAAGAAAGGAGATTTTGGTTAGGCACAAAATGAAACTAAATAACCTATTAAGGTCCTTTTCTGATCTGATTCTGGGACTACTTGCTAACTACCTGCTTTAAAATCCCTTATTACTGTCAGTAGAGCTGGCACTGGCTGCGAGAAAAGGAGCTTGCAGTTACGGGAAAGAACTGACAGCCTAAAATGCACAGCACGCCAGTTTATCTAGTTAGCAGTAGTGATACTAACCTCAGCTTGTAATCACACCTCGGCAAACTGTCAGAAGTCTATGTAAATAGATGTACTTTAAAACCACTTAATTATAAAATAATTACTCCTTGAAACGTCAAGCATTAGTTTAATCAGTGTTGATGACTTCCATGATTTTACTGAGTCTAATCAATCTGAGGCAGCCTGTGTTTAGCTGTGAGATGGTGTAATCGGCTATTTTATTTATTAAAAACAATTAGCTCTGCAAATTACATGGAAAATCCTAAAAGTGTAATCTGAACGTATGCTGAAGAGCAAAAAGACAGAAGGTGAATAAAGCCACATGTGTTTTTTAAGCTCATAATTTTAAACTAGGTTTATAATTTTAGGAGATCTGAGTCATGGTTTTTGAACTTCTGGTTTGGCGATACCAAATTACGGTGCCCTGTATTCTGCTGTTCTGAATATTTCCATATTACTGATCATGCATTTGGATAATTTGCCGAAAACATTATACTGATTTGCAGAAATTTATTCTGTTATTCACAAAAACAATGGAACACTTATTTAAGAAAGATCACGTATTGTGGCTGCCTTTCAAATTAACAAGGAGCATCTCTGTGCAAAAGGTGGAGGTATATAATACATAATAACACAAAAAGCCATTTCCCCCACGTAGTTTTCCCCACATACACTACGATTTTTAACACAACAGCACCTTGTGAGAAGAATCTGTTGTGGTTTCATACACTGGTAGTTTTTGTCTGAATTCCAATTACTAGACATATATCCACAAATGCAAATGAGATGAATCTCAGTGATCAAAAGGTATTATGACAAAGTATTATTCGTTCTTAGAACAGCTGTTTCTGAACTGACTCCTCTGTTGTAAAATAATTCATTTATCCTCAGCAATACAATCCGATTCATGCAATTTTCTGGGTAGTTTTACTAGGAAAGTGGATAAGAGAGAAATGAACACATGGGAAACGGTTATCAGAACTGAAGGCATAAGATCTCCTGATGGTCAAACCTAAGCAGACCACTGCATTTCAACTTTAGCATTTCAGTGATCCAAGTCACTGATGTCTGACTGAGCTGTAACTCGTGTTCACCCCTATTTTTATACTGCATTGCCTTATGAAATATGTGGAAGAAAAAGAATCTTCCTTTTATTGAGATAAAGATAAGGGCTGAGTTCTCCGTTCTGCTCCAGATACTGAGCTCTTGCTTCACTGAAGAAATCTAAATATCGTCTTCATTTCTGGCTGGGTGGTGTAATGGAGAATAGCCTACAGCGTATTACGTAATGCTGCCAAACAGGATACACGGGTGCATTATCGATCCTAAACACAAATAAATGGATCAGAAAGAGGTCTGCTGCTTCTGGAGGTGCCGACTTGCTGTTCTGGAAGTTACTCTCCAAATATGGTTTACAGATTCAGGATGGGGGAATAACAGCGAATGTTTTGTTAAAGGGAAAATCAAACTTGTGCTGAAGTCCTTCCCATAAAGCTCACTCTTTAATTTCTGAACCAGTCTGTTTGGCTCACCTGTACCATGACTGCATATGAAGCAACATAAAAGAAAATCATGTGGCTCTTCCCATATGAGAGGATGACTGCATAGATGAGTTGGTTCTCAAATTGTGCTGCAAGTCTTCGAGAACTGCTGACAAAAAGCAGGCTTGTAATAGCTCTGCTGAGAAGAGAGAATAAGTCTAATGAGGTTTCAGAGGTTGCTCCCTCCGGTTAGACTGGACTTTCTCCGAGTACACTGGTAAGAGATGAGAGATGATGGCAAGAATGTCACGTGAACTTCTGATGAGGAACAAAAGCTTCAAAAGCAGCTCAGACCTATACATATCGCTGTACGAGAAGAGAACATCACCTGCATGCTCAGCTGGAAAAGAAATACTTCTGCAGCAGGCTAAATTAAATACTTGTTAGGCTGAGTCTACAGACCCTTTGATTTTTCCTGAGAACGGCCGTGAGTGTCTGTGTCATGTACACCATCAGCGTTCAATGGCATGCTCGTACATTCCTCCAAGATCTTTTCCCCAACTTTACTATAGCAAAACAACAATTCCAATGATGTAATAAATAGGACTGAGGGAGTACTATCAGGGTAAGCAGTAATCCAGGCGATGCAAACACCTCTTCAGCAGGTTGTCAGCACATCTGGGTATCGGCACAACCATATCAGGGCCAGACTAGTTACTGGGCCAGGGAAACCCCAAGCAAGTTTATTTGGAGCTGTTGTACATATTTTGTGATTGTGTGATAAAACATACAGCTAAAAACTTTGGGCCAAGCTTTAGGCCAAATTAACGAAATGTCACTTCTAAATCTGACAACACCTGTTTGATTACAGCTACACTTAAATGAGATGTCAAATTAATTTTGCTGCAAAGACTGCTTATTGTGCTCCTCAATAGTGTTGTGTTCTTAG